TTTAATATTTTCTTTATCAGTTTATATCCTCTCCCAATCCAGGTTCTCATTTGTAAGCTAATTTAACGATTAGTGAATAAACTTGTAACAATATATTATTCTTTATAATTTTAAATATATTTCTATAAAAATATTTAATATATAAATACAAATAAATCTTTCTAAATGCACTCTATAAGTATATACCCTCTCTAAATGCACAATATGACTGTATCCCAGCTTATAATAGCTTTATATATTTTGCTCTCTATAAATACACACCCTTTTTAAATGTACACTTTACTATAGTTCCAAAAAAGATGTATTTAGAGAGGTTTGTCTGTATATATATTATATAAATTTTTTTAAATATATATAATATAACTTGGTTCCAAGTTATAAGATATATATATATATATTATTCTTTATAAAATATATATTATTTCGAAATATATAATTCTAAAAAAAATACTTATAAAGATTTTATTATAATAATTTTTTAAAAATAATTTAATAATATAATATCAATTAAAAAATATTATATTTTAACAAAATAATAATTCTAAATATATAACAAATTCTATTTATAAATATTTTGATAACAATAATATTTGTATACTTGATTGATCTTTTTAATTATCTTATTTGAATTTAATAGAACACTTGTAAAATAAAATAAATTTCCAAAAAAAATGAATATTTAATTAATATTTGATTATAAACAAAAAATAATATATTTAATAACTAAAATAAATCTAGTTTAATATTATATATAAAAAGTTATTGTATCATAAAATTTATCTGTCAGATGATGCAATGCTTTTGAATGCCATTGTATATGTACATACATTAGTATTTACTGATTTCTTCACCAATTTCTGATTGGATACAGGTAATTTATTGCTAATTGGATGAAATTAATCATTTAACATTGCATAAAGTAAGAATACACAAATTTTGATCAATCCAGCAAAATAAATCTAATAGAAAAAAAGTGAAAAATACAGGAAGTATATGCTTAAATATATCTTGATATACTAAAAAATGTCGAAAAGGCAATTTTACATACAATCTTAATCTCCAGTTTAACTCTAACTCTAGCTACCTTAATATTACAGTAGAAATTTTCTGTTCTTGTGGTAGTTGATTATATATACAATTTGACGAAATTTCCAATTAGCGTAGATTTTCTTACGTCCAATCAGAACTTGGAGAAAAATTAGTAAATCCCATACGTACATATAAATAAATAACGATAAAAAAAGGTAATATCTATTCCTAACTAAATTTGGTTTACAATAGAACTTACACAAGAAACTAATTTTGGAGGGATTTTTATGTAGAAATTGAGAATCAAAATTACGGAATCGAAGAATTTAATGCTACTTCGGTAACAATATCATGACTATTGTAACGAAATGAGATTACATATCGTTGTTTGATCTAACATTTCATACTCGCACAAGCATAATTTTTAGCTGAACCAAACAAACATATACGTACATGTATAAATAACCAGTCATGACTACTATAACAGAAATTGTGTCTATCCCATTGTTCGAAGAATGGGATACAGAGATGCTTATAATCTTCTTGCAACAACAAAATTTAAAGCTCGAAAAAAAGCATTATGATATTCTCTGCCAGCAAAAATCGCTGGTGCTAACTTTCTCAAAAAACGTGGGGTTGAAAATAGAACTGTCACTGCGCTCGCAAAAGAGCTCCAAGAAAAAAATAAACATTTATTCTCGTCATATCAGGAATTGCAGTCCATTCCTGCAATGTTTTTCAATATCACTAAGATTTTTAACAGAGTTGCGAACTTAAACATATGGGGTGAGCCAATAAAAACAAAGCAGATTATATATAATTTGCTTTATTCCTATTGATTCACCCTAAAGATCCGGGCTGAATTAATAAGCCCAAGCCCAAATTATTTTATTTTTTGATTTATTATAATTTTTGATTTTTTTTTGCATAATATGCAAGTCCTTAAGTGCCCCAAACTTTTTGATATTCGCCCAAGGTCTTGATATTAAGCTATATTACGTCAAACAATTAAGCCTTTTTCATCCTAAATTTTTTAATTGTCCTAAACAATTTAGCCCGAGTCAATAGATTTTCCATCCTGATAATGTGCTACAAAATCTTTCCACGTTCAAAAAGATTTAATTATCTACCCTTTGGCATGATAATTGGTTAACATAAACCAATTTGGTTACATAAAATTAGTTTATCAAAAAAACGAGACAAATTATTAAGAAAAATATCGAGCATTTTAAAAAAAGCTCTAGCCAATATTTTGATAGGGGGATGTATAAATTCACGGGGCAAATGTGATATTTATATGCCTTGAACAGGTATTCGTGCATAGTTATAGAACAATCTGTTATTATAACCGATATAATCGACTAACTAAATTAACTTTACAAATTCATTTAATAAGAACATGAGAACTCGAACCAATAGTGATAATGTAGCAATTTAAAAATATAAATATTATACTAAATTTAGAGAAAGTAGAACAACTAGGAATATTGTTATTGACACGACTGGACTGTTTGCAAGAATGGTTTTGTGCCACTGATGGTGATGTTGTTGGTTCACAAAAACCACCGCTGTGGCAAATTTGACCCGTCCTACGGCAATATCCGCCTCCACAATCTACAGAGCTGGCGTCACAGCCACCGCTACAATGGTGAAAAGGGTAAGAGGATCCGTCTAGTGTGCACTCTTCGTCGTAGCAACAACATCCCGAATTGTATGGACATGAGTGATAACCGACTGTTTGACGACTGAAATTGGAATAATTTCTTGCTTCCAAAGATGAGTTTCTGGTAGATATTTTGTTAACGTAACGATTCTCAAAAGATATAATTTGTCTCTTTCCCGTTTCAGGGATGCCGTAACAAAAGCGAATTGAGGTTACAATAATTATTAAAGCAATATTTGCATTACGAATTTGAAAAGTATTTTAATGATATACTTTGTAGAATTTGTGTATGTATTTATAAGTAGTAGAGTTGCATCCTATTATGCACGGCAGTTGTTCTTTTTCTTTTACCAATTTGAATGATATATTGACTCAAAATCCATAATAGGATATTCTATACAAGAAACTTCTGTTTGAACCCTTTATGTATCAAAATGATTTGAATTATCGTTCTGTACTTACAGTTAAAGTCTAAAAGAAAGAACATTTAAAAGTTAATTTTTTTGCACGTATAACCATAAGCAATTGTACAATGGGTTGCGACAGATTGAAATTTCACGATTTCAAGAACATGTAATTCATTAAATTGAACATGATTTTAATATACATCTTATGGAAAGGGATTTATGCTGTGAAAGTAAGAGATTACTTAGCGTTAGCGTTAGCGTTAGTGATCGCTAAATCTCTTATTAGCTAAATAGAGCCCTAACTGTGCTGATCATTGTTATATGGAACGAGTGCTGCTTTGCATTGTCATTTTCCATATCGATATCGATATGACTAAGTTTGGACATATAGATCTGCGTCATTTTGCCTGATTTAAATTAACAACTGATCTATCCCTTAAAAAGAAAATGCATCCAATTTTTGTACGTACCGGTACGTAATCAATACCGTAAAACGCTCTGTATAGTACCCCCCCTTGTAAAGTACTTTCCGGTTTATGCACGGATATTTTTATGGTGC